GAGTTTAGTCCTTAATTTTCTGCCTTATAATTCATCAACTCTTCTATCCATGCACCCTCATTGTCCCTAATGTGTGTGTATGTGCACACATGCGATCTTGTTTATTGCTTCCCAGGATCTGCTTTCATGTCATCAGCCTAATCCTCTGGCTCCCCTGCTCAGTGTTAACAGGGGAAGGTGAAGAATGAAAGATCCACAGCAGCTGAAGGTATGGTACCGTTTGAATGCTTCAGTGACAGTGATGAATTAATGTTCCTATGCTGTAAGCTTGTATTTATAAGTCGTGAGTAACCCTGAGATTAACACAAAGCAATGCATCTTAGCAAAAAAAATCTTTTTGTCCTTTCTTGAAAATATTTTACATGAAAACTTTACTGACTGTTGATCAATATAAAGCTCATTCTATTACTTTTACTCTCTCTCTTTACTTAATCATGGTACCTTTCGGAAGGATAGATACATTTTGTATGTTGCAGATTTTGTGGTATCCTGGATATTTATGTGCATGTGCTGTATGCATTGCATTGCTTTACGCATATCACTGCACAAACTGCATATCACTGTTCAAACTGCCATATTTTCACATATTCATTATTATTATTTTAGATTTAGATTTTTTGTCAATATTATATTTATATAAATATAAATACTCTTCCCCTGTCATATGTTTGTACAACACAAATCTGGAGTAATGCAAATGTAAGTAACTGCATTTACACATAAACATTATTTTAGTTTTTTTTCTTTTACTCTATTATTCTTTTATAACTTGCACATCTGTTTATTCCATAGTTACATATTTTTACTTTTAATTATGTCAACTGTATGTCTAACACCTAATCACCATAGAAAATTCCTCATACTATGTAAAAAACTACTTGGCATAAAGCTCTTTCTGATTCTGATTCTAATTCTATGCATATTTATTTGTATATAAAAGTTAAACAAGAAGGTTCTGGACATTCACGGACTACACATGTTTATTCTGATAAGTCTTTTGTAAATGAAATCCATTTTAATTTAAACATTAATTAAGGTAGTTACAAATTAAAGTTTTACAGTGCTATCAGATATTACAGTTAGAAAATATGTAATGTTATATCCTTTACTATCAACTTTACTGTTAATGAGAACAATGTGAGAGAACTGACATCTACGGCTGAAGGACTGACTTCTGTTCAAGGTAACTGACACCTTTTCATCTCATGACAAAATGAATTTTATTTAAATGGAATCACACAACTTACTATTTTTGTGTAGAATACACATATGGCACCAGAATATAAAGTATACAATGCTACAAAATATACACCACTCCATTTTGACAAAATGAACACGTTAATGATGCACAAATACTTAAACAAGTAGCAGCTTCTTGATAAATATGTATTTCTATATGCAAATATTTGCTTCATCTAAAAATATGGATTGTAGGTGAACATAATTTAGCTTTGGATATGTATTGTGAATTAGACCTTAATGGAAATGTGAGAAAATGGAAATGGAAAACACACTCTTTACTTTACTCCCCTTGTTTAACCAAGAAACATGATGACTTTTGTCCCACCCAGAAACCCGCCAACATCCTCCCCTTGAAGGAGCTCTTAATCTGCTGCAACAGTCTGATCTCCTTCCTGCCTTCGCACCCCTCGGCCTCCTTCACTTCTTCAATGGCATAAAAATTGAGGACACCAGCTGGATGATCAAGGTATACCCCGATGGTGGTTCACTGGGGAATATTCCAGATTTCGGTGGTAATGCTATTGAACCACACCTGGTAGTTGCATCCACCCCACCCAAGACCCCAGGAGTGTTCATTCTCTCCCAGCTCGCAGGGTCCGTCGCTTCCCCTCCTCCCTGCATCTTCATAGGCGACTCCGATGACCACCCATCCTGAGTATTTCACTTCCCAGTAAGCTCGGAAGCCCAATATTCCTTTTTTACAAAATACCTGAAAGTGAAAATAAGAGAGTGAAATTAATTGAGCATATAGGAAAAAAGAATTTTTCATCTGAATTTGTTGTTTAAAACCTACCTGGGGGACATGCTCATATCTCTCTGGTCTGTCCAGAACGGGACATGTGACATATGTGACGTCATGCGTGACACCTTAGATCCACCCTCTGTGATCCACAGCATCGTCTTGTCATCAAAGGAAAGGTTGATCTAGTCTGTGGAAAGATTTGCCACCATGAAAAAAAACTTTGGTAGAATAATGAGAGCAAATTTAAATGATCTTATATTTTAGAAGATCAGCTCTGCATGTTGGCTCAGGGATGTTGGGCTCGTAGTCTGGGATTTTTTCTGAGTGGCAAGAAAGGTTACACTGTTGGCAGCTGATTATAAGATGATATAATAACAAGCAAAAAGAGGCATTGTATTAAAAATTCAAACAAACATCCTCAGCGTGTTCACAGCTATATATAACTGTAAAAGTTATATATTTGAGTATCCACTCACCAGGTCTGCCTGTTGCAGGCGTGATTCTCTTATTGGGCGCACTGGTTGGCATCTTTATCGCTTCTTTCCGTGTTGAGGTTTCCTGAATGCTGGCATCTGTCAGCGGCGTGCTGCTGTGATGATGTAAACGGTTTCTTTATATACCCCCCAGGAAAGCGGGTATTAAATGTTTTGGGGGCCCCTGGGGCTCCCTAAGATAAATTCTGGTGATGGTATGTGGACATAATGAGATCACTAATGGGCATGCCACAAAGCCTGCCAAACCAGAATATTGAGGTTAGTGCGTACTGAATTTGTTTTTACAATTATACTGTCATCTCTTTGTAAACAAACACACATCTTGGAAATTGATACCCCTTCGGGAATATGGTCATCCTGTACAGAAAAAAAGGGGTTATGTAAGACTGGAAGAACAGAGCATAACGGCACCTTTTAGAAATGGTGATGGAGAGAAGAGAAACCTGGTTCAAGTGAGTTTCATTTGGAGATGAGTTCATCTCTGGTTATTCATGCACTTACAAAGGAGAGAACTTCAAGGTAAAGATATAATCCTTAAAAAGTTTTTATAATGTCCCTGATTTTCTCTGTCATGTCCTTTATTCTTTTCTTTATGCGGTAGATTTTGAATCCTTCATGTCTGTGTTCAGACACCACATAAATGTAAAATGTTCCCTTTACATATCAATATACAATAAAGTGTTCTGTGGGCATTCCCTGTGCTTGTAAAAGTTAATGAGTCGATTATAAGAACACATCAATGTTGATTGATTGGTTACATTGTCCCACAAAAGTAGTTAGATTCAGGTTTTTAGCCAAGTACATCACAATAAAAACATGAGAGGTGTCTTTCCATTTAGCAGTAATATATTGGTACACTTTTGTTCCCCATTAAGCACATTCAGTACAAAAAGATGTATGATATTCAGATCTATAGACTCTCTGAAAGTCATGACCTTGACCATCGAGATCAACCACTTAACAGGGTCACAGCTCAGTCTTTTGGCTGAGATCTGCAGTGCTTTGGAAGCCTGGTGCCTCTGCTTTATGATCCTCCTACTGGAAAACCGGAGGAACTCAGATGAGTACACATGCAAACCCGTTACCCACACTCTCCCCTCTCCTTTATTTTCAATAAACCCCACTGGGCCATTGGGGACAACATAGGTACTGGTATGTAGTGTTTAGTGTGTCAGTTCCACTGCATTAAGTGCCCCAGTCAATCATCTGCCTGGGCACGCAGGAACACAAGAAAGGTGAGACAGCCTTGACTAGAGGTTTGGCAGGATGCCTAAGCAGTAAACACCTCCAACACGCAGCCCGCAGTGGAGAGCATATCACAAGAAAGGGTTTACAGCCCGCACCATGCTCTTACTTTTAGCCCAGGCCATATGTGTTATGGCATTTGCAATTGTAAATGGTTGATGTGATAATGCAGGTCAAGAACCAAGGAACCTCCAGTCAAGGGATTTAAAGTCTGTATATTAGGATGGTATAGGCGTCTGTAAATGCCGATACTATCATGATGTGTGCAGACAAATATATACAATTCTAGAGATGTATGTTTTATTGTGAAGTAATTTTTTTAAAACGCCATTTAAGGTAAGAGCTTCTCTTTTATAGTGTATAATTTGTGTCCAAAGATTGTACTTGAATGTGATCACTTAATTAATACATTATTTCAGATGTTTTCTTTAGTTAATTTTAAGAATCGAAAAACTTCCTCTTTCGTGATACAGTATTTCTGTATAGTTAAGTTAAACCTATAATAAGACTTCATATGTACTTGACTTAATCCTTAGATATTTACACAGCTGTAACAATGAAAGTTTAAAAAAAAAAAGATAAATAGATTCACTTTAAAAAAAAGTTTTTTACATTTTAAATGTACATTGTAAGAACAGTAAATAACAATAAATGTTGCTGCAAGAGAAGTATTAATTATTTATCACATGTCACAATAATAATTCTTTTAATATAGAGTGTATGTTGTTTTTTTAAACTTTTGATTTATAAACATCTTCATACTTTAATATGTTATACATTTGCACCTGTTGGACCTCCTACTGCTTGATATCTAACACCAGGACATCTCCCATGCAGATTTAAATATTTGCAGCTGCATACTCAGAAATTTGTGTGTGTGTGTGTGTGTACACCAATCACCCCATTCACCATCAATGCATCAATGCTGTCACTGTGCAATGTGAAGAGATCAGTGGTAGCAATGTAGAAAGAGGGGGCGGGATTTACTTGGTACTAGCGGGTGTCCTACAGACATCGAAGCATCCATCAAACCTTTTTAAGGAAAAACATACATACACAGCTCCAATTACAAGCCTCTGTCCCCCCGAACCCCTTTCCTATTGGCAAGTTTTATCTCACTCTCATGTTCACGCCACCTGCCTGATTCCTTCATCTCTGTCCTGCATTAAAGGTATATAAGAGTGGCATTTAGCTGTCACACAGTGTTGCTAACAGATTCATCCTACTCAGAGAGACCAGTGACATCAAGCTGAGACAGGCTCATTGCCGGTATCAAGATGCCCACCACCACAAGAATCATTTCTGACAACCAAAAGTCAGATAAAGGTGAACTTTATTTTCTGCATTTTACATCCATCTATCATTTTTTAATGTGATGGTTTGCATCCTTTTCTATCAAATGAAACCACTAACCTGCAGCATATATTATGATTTACTGCATTTAATACAGATATCATTATCAGCAAAGCTTTAAATTAACTGATTTAATAACCTCAGCCTGTGTCTGCAGCAGTGAGGCTTTTTTTTATTATCCTCTGAGGCAGATCCTGAGTGAATGGGTCACTAGAGTTTATGTCTGTGTGGAAAGCGCAATATTTCACTGGCTGATTTCATGCTTGTCGTTATGAGGGGCGTATAATGGTTTTATTGCCTAGGAGCAAGGGTCTGCAAGTGTCAACATCATCTGCTTTAAAAAAGATTTAACATGCTGTATGTATTTAACGTGCTGTATAAACTGTATAATACCAGTCCTGAAAACAGATTGTAGCTGGAGTATTTGGTATAATTGAGTCTGGACTAATTGATGTTAGCCTCTTTTGACTGTATAACCGTGACAACAAGGAAAGCATGTAGACTCACATGAACCTGTAACATATCGTGCAGAGGAATAGAGTCTTACAACTAGTTTGCTGTTACTGTTTGCTTTTTAATGGTGGCAATCACAGCATCTTGACCTATATGAAATAGAATATTATAGAATTTCTTTTATTCTTCACACACTTAAATTTGACAACCTCACAATGGAAACAGATGCAGCGAGGAGTTAATCACCCATGATCAAAAACATTTGTTCAGATCCGATCACAATTCGACTAACAAGCCCTCTACAGATTGCCAAAATAGAGTTGAGGCTGATTTCAAACTTAATGTTTTGTATGGTGTCATGTTGAAATGAGGCCAAAACAAAGCAGTTATTTCCATCACCTCGTGCTACATCCAGACAGGTGGCCTAACATTCTGGCGTGGCCTCGCTCAGCCTCCAGTCAACAGAGAGATAAATATTAGCTCATTTAGACTTGACACGCATTCTGCATGAGGTGCAAAAATAACCGTTAGGTTTGAAAAATGCGAATAATGATGACAAGTAGATTTACATGTACTAGCAGACCACTCTCTGTCTCAACATTTAAGTAACATACAAAACCTAGTTGGCTTAACGGTCATGCATTTTGCTAATTTTTCTGCCATGATAAACTTAATGAATGTTCTGAGGTGATGTTGATGTGTGAATGAAATAGAGTAGTTTATTTTGGAGGTGGCTTGTTGATATAAATAAAACACAGAACTTATGTTAGTCGATGTTGACATCCTAATGCTGAGGGGATTAACTGTCTCCGCCTTTTGAGTTCCATCCTTGACAAAAAACTGGACACTGCATTCTTTCACATGACACCAAAGCATTGGTTACGAAACTGGCATTAGGGAGAAGCCTGTTATGTAACTACAATTTATCAATTATTACTTCAAGGACAGTTATGACACAATACTGCTGCCTGTACTCAACCTTAATTTGAAATCTAAATGCTGGCAGACTAATAATTTTCCGTCTGTATTACTATAAGCTCATTGTATTAAAGGGAGTCCCCTACATTGTTATATTTAGGGGTGAAGAACAAGGTGCATGCAGTATATTATCTTTACATATACAAATAATAAATACTAAATACTTTTGATTTGAGACCAGATTTAAAATGCATTTTATCACATTTTGGAAGAAATCTCCTGGTTGTTATTGTCCTCAATAAACAAGTGTTGGATCTACATCCCTGACATATCTGATCTGAGCAAGTGGCTCATGCCCCTCTTCCTAAATGATAAACTGCTCTGAGCTTCACGCTGCACTCCAGAATGACCGGAGCCAACCCTGCAGCGTGTGAGGTGTCTTGATCGTTCCAGCCACCTGGCATGAATAAGCCACTGGCTCCAGAAAGCATGCAGTTGCTAATGTAATGATCTGACAGAGGCAGATGGTTTTCTAAGTATACACCATTTTGCGGTGGCTCACTTCATCATCTGTTAAGGCACACCTGACACATACACACAGAATTTATAACAGCCAACTATGTTGATCTCTATATAGGTTGCTCTGATGAAAACAAATTTAAGTTTTTGTATCTTTTTCACAGAAAAAAAAGCAAAAGCTGGAAACACACTCACAGGTAGGCAGTGACCTCATTACAGGCTTTTAAAATGTTTTATGAACGCAGATCATCCTGCCACAGTTCCCCTGACCCTGGCTGATTCTTGACTGATGCTGTTATGTCACTCACTCCTCAGAGAAGATCCCAGCCTATGAGCCAAACCTCCCTGAACCAAAATCCAGAGCCGATCTCATAAATCGTAAGATTCTTTCTCTTGTACAAGTTTTTATCCTCATACAATTTGGTCCAAACATAATCTTTCATTAAACCGTCATTTCTTTCTGTTTATTCAGACTGGTTCAACCTTTCCTTGGATGACAAGACAGCCAATAAGATGCTGTGGATCACAGAGGGAGGTGCTAAAGTGGCCCGTATGACTGATGATGTCACTTGTCCCGTCTTGGATAGACCAGAGCGATATGAGTATGCTCCACAGGTATAGTATGATGATGTAATTAGATTATTTGGGTCTGAAATTATCATATTTAAATTATATTTTCTCTTGATTCACCATATTGTGCACGCCATTATGGTGTAAAATGAGCTGAGAGTACCATGAACTTGTCATCACCATGCCATAGCACAGTGGAGTTTGATGTGACTGTAAAATACAGCCAGAGGGCTGTCCCCTGTGTTTATTTAAATCCTGAGCCAACGGGTTTGGCATTGCAAACCGGAGAAAGCGAGGCTGCTCTACATTCTCCGGAGTAGCAGCTATAATAAATCACAGGTTAAGTTAGAGTGCCTCTAAATTACACTCATTCTCACCCACATTCCTGAAGGTTCTCTGCAAAGAAGGCATCCTGGGCTTCCGAGGCTACTGGGAGGTGGAGTTTTCAGGGTGGGTCGTGGTCGGGGTAGCATATGAACGAGCGGGAAGGAGGAACAGTGATGGATCCTGCGGCCTGGGAGAGAACGAGGAGTCCTGGGGTCTTGGCTGGAGTGGTTCCAGCTATCATGCCTGGCACAACAGCCAAAATATAGAGATCTTGGGGATTCCCAAGAGCTCCACAATTGGTGTATACCTTGACCAGCCTGCTGGAGTCCTCAATTTCTATGCTGTGGAGGAGGTGAAGGAGGGAGGGGAGAGCACAGGAGGAAAGGAGGTTCAATTTCTGCAGCAGTTTAAGAGCTCCTTTAATGAGAAAATGATACCAGGTTTCTGGGTGGGGACACAGTCACACTGTTTGATCATAAAGAAGGAGGAATAAAGGACTGAATCAACATTATAAAATCACATGTACAAGTCAGTGATCATGACCTGGTCTCTGAGGCAGATATAACCGACATAGGTTAGTACATTTCAATAAAGGGAACAAAGTATAAACAGGTAGGCGTTTAGCTGGGATTCATCTTTCCTGAAACCATCGGACCACTCAAGGTTTATACTGATATATTTGTATGTATTTTTATTCCTCCGTTGTTTGCTAAGAATGTATAGGGTACATAGGGCTGGACAATATGGCCATTTTCATATCTTTCAATAATATCACAATAAGTATGAAATTGTTATTTCTTTTGAGTTTAAAGGCTGATTTCTGCTCCTGATTTAAAGTTGAAGAAACCTGACAGTTAATTGTAGTTTAAACTCTTCTTTATGTTCAACATTTGATGCCAAACTTTCAAAACAATTACGATAAAATCTTTGTTATGCATAAAATATGCGTATGTATAATTCAAGTGAAAAAAAAAAAAATTTGAATATTAATTGAAAATGTATTATATTGATATTGAAAAAAAATATATCGTGATAATTATTGTTATTGTTTTATTGTCCAGCCCTAGGGGTTACACACTTTGGTATGAATGTATGTAGAATGTAAATATGCAAAAGTTTAAATAAATAATAAAACACTGAGAAATATTTCATCCTGTTTTTTTCATCTAAATATTAACATAAAAGAATGAAAGGAAAAGTATCTAAATGCTGCACTGAATGAAAGCCTTCATCAGTTGACATATAAAGTATACTGATAACAAACTAAACAAGTGTCTGTTTGACTTACAGCAGTACATACTACCGTCATGGTGTAATACTGTAAGACAAAAACAAACACACTAACCTCCACACTAAGCTGGTTTCTTTGCATCTATATAGTTGCCAAGCAATTTATTAGTAATTTGCATTTGTTTTTAACTAGAAGGAAAATGCGAGAGATGCTGCAATAACAGTAATCCTATTTATTGCTCTCTTCTATTTAAACAAACACTGACGCTCTCACTTCGGTTTTCACATACAGTCTTAGCCGGTGATTCAATTAAAAATAGATGGATTATGTGGACCATAGACCATCTGTCACATAGTTTAATATCTTTGACCAGTTTGACTGAGATGTCTCAGTGTATGTATTTCTGCTTCCGCCCCTACCCCCCGTGTTGACAAGATCAGTTTCTGAATGTTACTTTAAGTCATGTTTGAATCCATCTTCTTGCTTTTCTAAAGACCTTCCTAAAGTTTAGGGGTGTCAAATGTCAGTGCTAGCTTCACTTACATCTATATGTCAAGTCAAGCGCATACACCCCCTTCTGGGCACCCATTCCACTGACCTCAACACCTCTTGCATACACTCCTAACACCCCCCTGTCTCATTCTCACTGAGTGTATATGAGGCAAATGGAAGGTGAAGACTTCGCACTTTTACTTAAAATATTTTTGAAGACTCTGGACCTGGACTATTAGTACACCCTCAAGATGCCAAATAGATCCAATTCAACATCAATGCTCTCCGACACCAGCAAACCAGGTACAACAATGTAAAACCATTCTATTAACGTAAAACAAATGGGTAAATTATTTCTTTGCTGAGGCAGTTACTAACTCCGAGTAGTTTAGAGTCTAGACTTTAAGAAAGATGACTTTATATTTAGAGTGTGATGCTGAACTTTCATATAACATCATTGCCTCTGCCTGCTCTTAGATACCACTTAGATGGCGGTAGTCTGTCTTGTCAAACACTGTATTTTGGATTTGTTTGCTCACACTTAAGTGTGAGTGTGTATAAAAAGGACCTTTTAAAAAAGTACATGTTGTACCTTTTAACATAATTAGTTTAAAAAGTTTTTTTCCCCATAGAATAGATGTATAGTATAATAGTTTGTAAAGTATCAATTAAGTAGAATCGGCCATGACACGGCATGACAGCAGAACCTTTTTAGAATAAAACACTGACTGTAAATTGTTAAACAACGTGTGTGATCACACATTTGTCAAACAAAATTAATATTGGAAATGCATGGCATGATACAATTTGTATTACTTCTCCTGCTATTAGACGTGTCATTGTCGTGTGTCATTTCTTGACATGAGGGCTTTTCTCACTCACAGTTAGTCCCAAAGGTTTAACTTACATTCATGTCAGAATCGTTAGAGGGTTGTGTCATGCGTTTGTCTGGAAAATAACTCTTCACATCCTTGCAGTTTAACCTGTGTCTTTGAACTTTCAAGGGAAGAAAATAAAATCCAATAAGAATGAGAAGACAAATGCAGGTAATGGGCTCGATGCACGCTTCAGTCTACTCTTACACTTTAAGTAGTGAGCACAAGTGAGTTTGTATTTAAGCCTTTTATTCCTCTCCTTACAGAAAAAGATTCTGTTTATGTGCAAAACATCCCAGAGCCAACAAGCAGAGCTGAGCTTGTAACATGTATGAGCAGATCTTTTTTTCTCCAATAATATAATGTTCAGCAACATTTTCAGGACATATTTAAAAACTAGACTTGCTTGTTTTTCTCCTGTAGATTGGATAAATTTGTCCTTGGACGATAAGACTGCCAACAAGATGTTGTGGATTTCTGACAGCGGGTCTAAGGTGTGTCGTAGAACTAAGGAGGTTTGTCCTGTCCTGGATAGACCAGAGAGATATGAGTACTCTCCACAGGTAAGAAAATACACACAAATACAGTTTCAGGCTATCAGGTAAAGAAACAAATGTTGTTGTTTTTTTTCATTTTTCTTCCTTTTTTAATTTCTTCAAAGGTGGTGTGCAAAGAGCGTATTTGGAACATGAGGGCTTACTGGGAGGTGGAGTTCTCAGGTTGGGTGGTAATTGGAGCCACTTATGAAGGAGCAGGCAGGAGAGCCCATTCTGGCCCGAGTGGCCTTGGAGAAAATGAGGAGTCCTGGGGTCTGTGTTGGGCAGGAACGTGTTACCAGATCTGGTACAACGGTATAAACAAAGACATAAACGATTTCCCATATTGTTCCACAATTGGAGTTTACATCGACCAGCCTGCAGGGATTATGAACTTTTATGTTGTAAATGGTGAGGGTGCAGAGAGGGAGGTTAAGCTGTTGCACACAGTTAAGGCTACAATTGAGAAAAAGATTCTCCCAGGTTTCTGGATGGGAATGCAATCCTCATGCACAATACTGAAGAGACCAGAATGAATCACTAAAGTGAAAACCCATCAAATCTGTGTCGATGATGCTACAGTCAGGTTTTGACACTTAATAATGTTTTATTTACATATTCCTGTAATTCTTCATCAGTTCTATTCTGTTTGTGGAAGAAAACATTTATTGTTATTAAACATCTCAAGTTGTTTTGAGAAATGTTTTTTCATTTTTGCATACTTTGCTGTCTGATACTGTATGTATATTTATGAACTCATGACATGATGTGGTGTCTAGTGACTTCATGAAATCTGAAATAAAAAATGTATTACTATAAATGAATGCTTAATTACTTTAAAATCTAAATCTTCTCCTTCCTTTTTGTGTTTGTGTGTGTGATTAAATTTTGTCATATTTTAAATTTAGCATCTCTGTGACATTGCAGAAGTCATAACTAACTTTGTCACAGAAATGAAAGCAACAAAACCCACTGAATTTCATGCTTATTTCCAACAGATAAACTAAATATAAAAATAAAATTTGTGCTTGACCTCATTTCTATCAACACACCCTAATGGATGAAAGCCAGTTGCACACACACTGTAAAGTGCTCACTGCATCGATGGATTTGGTTGCGTAACGAAAAGTGAGAGAGAGGAGTGGGAAACGCTCCCCTCTGGGTCACTTTGATATGTGAGAGGCTCCAGCCAGAAGATCACTTTCCTACTTTGACAGTTGGACCTCAACTCCTGCCGCCTTCACACCTAAAGCATGATCTTCACGGGGGTACTAAAAGTGGGGCACACCGACAGAACATTCACACTCCTGGAGGCCCAATGCATCACGTAACCTCATTTAACAAGCACTAAGAAGAGCCCTAGTGAGAGACTACACGCACGATCCATGCCAGTATTACATACACTGTAACTGCTGTCATTTCTCTTACATACAATGAAGGTCATGTGTGGCTGAGACAACTTGGGACGAGGTATGCAAACATGCATAAAGACATATTAACCCTTAGGTGTATCAGTCACACTCATAGACTGTAGGTCATGCTACTTAGCTACAATACAACTTTACAACAAGGAAAAAGGACATCCACAGCTACAGTAATGTTAGCTAGCAATCCAATGTTACCTACTGTATAAAGTAGAGTCATATTTACTTGTAATCAAATTGTAAATGATTTGTAAAATAGCTACACCGTAGTTTTTTAAGTTTAGAATATAAAACACCTACATCCAATGTAAAATCGTCTTTTTGTGTTCAGTAATGTGTATAAGTGGTGATGTGAATCAGAGTTGAGATGTGGACGAAAGTACCACATCCGATACATTTACAGAGGAAAAGCATACAGGTCATTTTAAAACAAAAATTGGGTAATAATACAAAAAAGTTCATTTTCACATAAAGTAAATGAGACACACAGACAAATTTGAAGGAAAAAAGATTTTGAGGAATAAACAAATTGAAGATGTACATGAGATAATAAACCCCTATTCATCTAGGGGTTTAAAAAGCAAGTTCTTTTTTTAAGCCAAGTTCATTTTAATAACATATGGAAGATATTTGAGACCCAATGTAGCAATTCTGTTGGGTGCAAATTTCCAATGCCATACTTTTCATTCATTTTATTCATTTAGGTGATGCTTTTATCCAACAAGTTTTAACCCGGGTCTCTCATACCAAAGGCATAGGCTTATCCATAGCACCATCGCCACCCCTTAAACATAAATAAACTTAAACGTACATAAAACACACTACATTCAAAATAATATATTAACAAATCTTTGTTTCACTAACGATAAAATAAACAAAAACATAGTTACTTAAATGCATGTGTATATATAACTGCCGAGGCACTCCTGCAATCATAGACATCAAAGTGTGATTTATGCAGTATGGTTATGAGCATAAGTGAGAATTTACGGTCAGTGAGCTCGACAGTTAACCCTACATGACGGGTACAAACATCCATCGTAGCCGAAAGAAAACACAACTGGAGACCAAGATCCAAGAATAATCACACCCAGAGCGCCACCACCCTGCATATTTGTATCTGGAAGTGATGTATCTGGATGAACTTATGCTAGGCATGTGAGTGAGTGGTAACTCTTAGCTCGTGTCATGGTAAAGTGGTTTAAGCTATATAAGTGTCACATTTAGCATGACACATTTTTTTTGGGAGGGGGGGGCACTTAAAATAAAATGTTTTACAGCCAAACAGTCATTTATTTCTTTCTGATGAAGTTTGATTGTGAAAGAAATAAATTGTCAAGTGTAATTTAATATAAAAATTAATTTTTCTCTTTTGTCCTCATGTCACTGTTCTCACTGCTTCATGTGAACACTTGTCCAGCAGCTTGATGAGTTGCACTCAGTAGCAGGTTCTAAATTACATCTTCTCAATGTGCTCCAGTGATATAATTTCCATCTGGTCCAACACCACCCTATTGATGATATGCATCACTCATTTCTTCTGACACTATTGGTCCCGGCAGATTTACTGTCAAGTGGCCATTGGCCCGGGTTCAAACTGTCTAAAATGGCCTGGTGGGAGCATCAATTACATGTTGCTCACTCTCTCTCTCTCTCTCTCTCTCTCTCTCTCTCTCTCTCTCTTACCACCTGTGTATGTATGTACAGAACACACACCACATATATACACATGCACGTTCATCTTCACTGTGTCTGTTGTTTGTCCTGCACATAGTTATAATAGACATATACTGTGTCTGGGATATGTGGTGATCATGTAGCCCATACAGGATACTGGGTTAAGGTCTGTTTATGGTTTACTGGTGGAGCGTTTTTCATCCAGGACATCACCAGTATAACTTATAACTGGTTTCATTGAAAGTAGTGAACCACAACTTGCAAATTATTCTTAGTTGTTAGACAAAATGCTGTCAAACCCTCAAATATGAAACCACAAATAACTAAGCAAATTGGTAAACTCTACTAAACATTAAGTGGCTCAAATCCTGTTCTGTGTGTAATAGTTTAAATACAACAAACCATTTGGTAATTAGGCCATAGGTGTGATCTCAAATATAATCTCTATTATGTTGATTCATGATATGATTTGTTACATTTAACTCCCACCAAAAATCAGAAATTTTACACAACAAACACTACTGGTGTAAACACGTGGTATGTTTAAAACCATCAGAACAACTTAAAAATTTGTGTTTAGGTGTTTGATGCTAGTAATTGTACAAAAAAACTGACGATAAAAGCCATGTTGTATTTACTTTTGATACTTTAGAAACATTTTCTTATAATACTTATGTAACATATTTAGCCCAGGATCTGAATATTCCGGTCTTTCTAATAGTCTTTCTGGGCTGTTTGTTCACCTGCGAACCAACATGTTTGTTCAGTGGTGTTCTTCATTGCCGAAGACAACAGCATCATCTTCTGTATACTGTAAGTGACAAGCTAAGTTACAAGCCAAGAATGTTCGCACTGGCTTCTGTATACATATTTTACTATAACATAGCCATCTTATGACATCCCAAAACCGCTCTGTGTATTTTAGCCACATATAATATATAATACTTGTTTATTTGAATTGTTTTAGTTAACTGTCAGGAGAAACTGTATGTGACATTCACAGTTATTAAACAGCTCCACCTGCTGGGATGTTTGTACACAACAAAAGGCAAATATTGAATACACAATGTAGAATGTCTGCATGCTGAAATGGATTTCACTAATATGCTTCCCTTTATGTATGTTGGATTTAGAAAACAATAAAATAAAAACCATAAATGTATTACAGGATGAAGACAGATCATACTAATGTTAAATTTCCAGTAATGATGAATTATGCTTTTCTTGAATGTTAAAATAAAACATACATATTGTGACTTTCTCTTACATCAAATTATATATTTTTTTACTAACCTACTAATTTGTACAGATCTAACTAATCTTAATATTGTCACATCTAGGCTATATCAAAATAATTATACTGAACAACTTTAATATGCTACTTAATTTATCATCAATAAACCGTGTTGTAGACTGAAGATTAAAAGCTAAATAAAAGATTAAAACATTATGATTTGGAACTGAACACAAAGTGTGTTGTGTAGAATGAAAATTAGAAAGAAGTTAGCTGCATTTGTTGTACAAATTGTCTGGTTCTTCCGATTGTACGCAGACCATTTGTTTGCTAGTTTGTAGAATGAGGACACTTGTCTCCAAATTGTTCTATATCAAATAGATAATTAAGACATCCTATTAATAAACAGGCCCGCGACCCTGTACGCAGGATAAGCGGTTGACGATGGATGGATGGATATCTACATATAACATTTTCCATGTTAGTTTTTAATTCATAATGTCACTTTTTAAAACAGTGGAGTTGTCACCAGTCACCGCCCCTCACCTCTCAGCCAATCACAGGCCCCCTGCCTCTAGCAGGGCTCAACAACTGCTGCCAAGTTTTGACCAGTTAGCTTCTGCTAGCAAGATCAACAACAATGTCATCTTAATTCTGAATCAGCCACCTAGCTGCTGCTGCAAATAAACACAGTGCCTAGACACAGTACCAGTAGCAGCACTGCATATACTACCTACGTAGCCATCTAACTAGCTAGGATGGCTTATAGCTTTGATTATTACATGGCATCAATGTAAGGAGCCAGTGTTAACAGCAAACCCTTGGACAGTGGTGTGATTCCAGATAATAAAAAGACATACTTTCTTATTAGTTCCTCTAGCCAATAGCAGCCCAGCTCTAGATGGCAAGCCAGTTTGTTTCATTTAAAGATGTCACTTTATTTATTCGTATAATTATTTATTTCAAAATCTCCTATCAATTTATTTCATATTGAACACTTTGGGGCTCCACATATTTCGGGTCAATGTGGACATGCTGTGTTTTGGAACCAGTTAGCAGTCTTTGTCAAGAACAACATTTCCCATGAGCCCTGAAACCACTGTTCCTGCTTCCTGAATGAGATCACCCCACAGGTTGTTGATTGTGTAACAGGAGATGATAAGTAGCCATGCAGCTGTCAGTCAACAGGACTCATTTTGAAGAATGCTAAAAGGGAGGGGTCCAAAATATCTGGAGGCAGACCGATTCATTGCCTGTGAGAACAGGACATCCTGGGCATCTGAGGTCATGACCTTCCTGGTCAAAACCAAATAGCCTGAACATATGAGGTACTAATTATAAGATGGCATAATTACTATTTGAGTGTTGAACAATGGTTTGAGTGTTCTGTGCCATACTTATGTGTCGAGGTTGCAGGTGTTTTTCAGGAGCATGTCTACACAAAGCACTGGGTGTTTTTCACCACTTTATTCATGAAGTTAAAAATGGTGCCATAACCAGCCAGGCCTTTAGGCAGCTTTCCTCTGAGAGTAATTTTAGACTTGACTTTTGTCCTATCTGCTTGTTCTCATCATAGCTCTTAAAGTGCCTTTGATATCTTCCTCTTGTACAGCAATAACGCCAGCTCTCCTGAGGCATCTGTCGTGGCCCGCTGCAGAGTATCGGCTTTCACTTTTCCTTTGAGTGCTTTTCTTTCTGTCTATATATATTTTTTTATATTATTCATAACTCGAAATGCTCTCACTTTTGTCACCTTAAAGCACTGTGCACCTGTTTTCTTACAGCTGGATTGGTGAAGCACCATCTTTCCCGTGTACTGCATGCGAGCCGAGTGCATTGGAGGTACTTCAGTTTCTATCTTGAGAATATTTGAAGAAGAACTCCACAAGACGCTGACTCAGTGCAGCAGACAACCTAAATAAGAGCCCACCATCTGGGAAAATGCTTATGCCTCATTGTGGAAAAGTCTAGACCGACTAATTATAAGACAATTGGATCATGTCTGATAGCTATGCTGTATTAGGTCTCTTTATGTGTACTTTATATATATATATATATATATATAAATATGTTTTATCCAATCTGGACTGTTCCTCCACAAATGATAAGTTCAGTGGAAATGTTCACTTGAAATGATCTATTACGTGTCAATATTTGAACACTGTAGTTCGATTGTTTACTCCACAAGTTACATGTATAAGTTTGCGAAAACAAACCTTTAAGCCATTGCGTTCAGTGAACCCTTCATACTCTGAATGGTTAGGCCTTTATCAAGGGGTGATAATTCACGACTGGCATCCAAATCTTTAATCGTCATGAAGCTAGATCCAAATAGCTGAGAAATGAAATTCAAACAATGCAAAGGGCAGAGAAAGAAGAATGGGAGACCAGCTGGGGGGGTTTTTGTAAATTCCTTAGTCACAAACCCACACTCAGCAAAAGACAGAGAGGCTGTCAAGGGCAGGGTGAGAGGGAGGGACACTGAAGAAGAAGGAGAAGAAGAAGAAAAAGAAGCGGGGGGAGAAGGGACTCACAGAGAGTGCACTGTTAGAGAACAGAAAAGCAGACTGAGTGTTATCAGCCAGCGTAGGTAGATCACCGGACAATCACCACTGCTACAAGTCAGAACAGAGGGAAGGAGTGCGAAACAGAGAGGGAGATTCACACGTAAGAGGAGAGAAGAGGAGTTTAGCAGGAGAGTGTTATGACTGGCAACAGGAGCTTGTGGTAGCCAGGAAGAGGGCAGCCAAGCCTGAGGAGATGCTATGAGGAAGAGTGCCAAGTGATGGAGCTTGAAGCAGCCAGAAGGCGGGCGCAATTAGTCAGGTACAGCAATATGGCATCTTTAATACGATTTATGTGTCATGTAATTATGAGTAGTATTTGAACAGTTACAAATATTGTTACAGAAAGATTTTTGAACGTATTTCATAATTTCTTTCATTTCATTTTTTAATCTGCATTTGTTTGGTATGTTTCCAGTAATTTTCCAGGTTGTTGTACATTGAACAAAAGACTAAAGTTACAGTATTGTAAAGCAGATGTGAAGTATTATCTGTGACTGAAATATTACAGGCTCACTAGGGGACTTTTTCTCAGCTTTGCTAAGCTGTGACATCTTGGCATTTGCCTGCTACCAAGGCCACCCAGCGACTTGTATGCCTCCTATTGTCCAACTTTACTGTCTAAAGCCATATGAAATATGATGTGTACAATAATCCAGCATTCTCATTATGCAATCTTGTCAGGCAGTTAAATAAGTAGCTGTGGCAGTGCCTTACGTCACTACCTTACTTATCGAGGTCAAACGTATAGTGATGATTTTGTTGACATTCAAAGTCATGAGTATGTAGGAGACATGCAAATGTTTTTGTTGATGGAGAGGGAGGATATTTCCTGGGCCGATGTATTCAACATGCTCTGCGTCCAGCTTCACATGATGCTCCAGAGTCCTTGGGCACCACAAAGCGCACTCTGTGTGGTACACAGACCCACCATTTGTCCTCCCCTCCATCCCTCTTTAGCATTTTAAGTTTTCTCCTCCCCGAGCTAGTGACCCCCCCGCTGATTAAGAAGGAGATTTTCCAAATATTTCACAACACCCACGTAACCCCCAGTGTCTACAAAGTTGTTTGTCTCTGCTCTCATCTCTTACAAAGACTTGATTGTTTTTTTACTCTGTGTCTCACTTGTAGAGGATTGTGGTTCATACTGACATAGACCGCGGCAGCTAAACCATGTCGAACCTCTGGGTCGCCCACAGTGTGAGATGTTTCTCATGAATTTTTATCCACAAGTATATCTGTATTGCTGTTTCATGAGGGTCAACAATAACTGCACAGTTTAGATAAGCTGTAAAATGAAGTGGTGCTAAGGCAGCTACAGCAGATGTAACTTAGACCAGCTGACAATCACTTTTAAAATTAACTGCAAATACAGCACATGCACACATAAAGTAGTTTAGCATATATATGGGGGGAAATATTTATATGTAGATTTATACATATATGCACATATATAGTATATAATGTATATGTATACAGTATAAAATAATAAAGAAATACATACTTTAATTTAAATAACAAATTGTAAACATATAGACATACAATACATAGACAATAATACATGGAATAAAGTACTTTATATAGCTATGCACTAGTACAGCAGTATGTAAAAAATAAATGTTTTTTTTATTTTATTTAAAATTGAATTTGAAATTCAAGAAATAATTATCTTTTCTAAATGCATACCTACATTAAAAGTCATTTGAGACATTTAACAACATAAATAAGATCTAAGTGTTTTATGCACGTACTGCATTTCATTTTTAGCACTTCACAAAACATTACAAAACACAAAAACAAATATATACAGCATATCTAGAAAATATTGGCCCGATAAATGACTACAATAATCAAATGGGCACAAACTTCCATAATTATATTGTCACACAATAATAAAGTTTAATTTACAACAGGATTACTGGGCTGTAATGTGGGTGCAGGTACAAGAAACAAGCTAACGTGTGACCTGAGGTACAGAACCAACGATGCGGATAAAACTTTGTGGTCACATGGAGAGATGACAGAAAAGAAGAAAAGCACAAACCTATGACACAGTGAACCCACGCCCCTCCCTACACATTTGACTTCAAAATGGCACTTTACTTCCCCCACTCCACACGCTTTTATTTTGGTTTGCTGTCCTCAGCCGTCCATGCTGTAGTTCTACAGTTTGGGACACATTCCAAATCTCTCTCAGCCTCTCATACCAATCCATCCCTGCTGCCAGATTGGTTTTCACACAGTCACGGGCCCCTCCCTGCTACCACAGCGACGCAGCTGTCACCTGTCAGTTTCATGGTGGGGATGCGCGCCGGTCTGTTATGGCTCAGAATAGAATTGTGGGAGAGTTTTGCTGGAAGTGGGAGAGCAAGTCTCTGAGAAGAGCTAACAGTTGACCAGGAAAACAATCTCAACTATATGGGAATGTGGCATATGTGTGCTTGGAGGAGACAGGGTGCTGCTCATGGGAGGGACTGACGGCTTCTACAGAGAGAGAGAGAGACTCTGGTTCAGATTGTATTGGTAAGGCCTCGTGTCTTAGCCTCACCCAGAGCAACCAGTTGCAACCAGTTCATTCAAATGTCTAAGTAGAGTTTCAGTAAAGGGAAGTGTTTGCTAAGAGGTTAAACTATAACTGTGCAGGACTGGATTGATGTTAAAATTTGAGCCTTCATTCACAAATCAATCACTATTTAGTTACTTTGTGTACTTTAGTGGGTGTGTACCATAAGTAATCTTGAACGAACACTTTGTTATTTATAAACACACCTGTATAAAAGAAGGTTAAAATGCATGTTAGGGGTGGGCTTTAGTTTGGGTTCAAACACAGTAGAAAGGAGTGATCCAGATATGACATTTTAGATGTGACATTTGCATCCAGCTCTGACATTTTGGACAAAAGCTCTTCTAATCAACGCATCTTCTTTTACTTTTTGTCAAGTGTCTATCTGGCTGTTCAACTGTACTGTATGAATGTTTTTGTCTCCACTGCAGAATGGACGACCAGGACAGAGTAAGCCAAGCATCCAGTGTGGCCACCATTTCCTACTTTCCTGTCATGAAGGTGTGGTTTTAAAGTTTGCATTTTCTATCTTGCCTTTATGTGCGGACGGCTCACTGTGACACTGTTAATGCATTCTCATGTATCATTCCTTCTTTGGACAACAGGATAGTGATGGAAGGGTTCAAACATTTGGGAAAAGATGCCAGGCTGCCAAGAGAGACCCCAACTGTCCTGTGGTCATCAGAGGATGGCTCAACAAAAAAGTAATTTTCCAAACATGGCCTACAATTTATAACATCATTCATTATTACATTTACAAGAAAGTGTGACTGAGATAATCAGCCCCTAATTAATCCTCCTTCCTGCAGGATAGCTCTGGTTTGAAGCTGTGGAAGAGAAGGTGGTTTGTCCTCTCCAACTACTGTCTGTTTTACTATAAAGGTACAAAGCTCGTAGCACGAAACCTGCTCATGTGCTCTGATTTGGCAACAATGCGGCTCATCTTTTGGTCACTTCTTCCCCCCCCCCCCCCCCCCCCCCCCGCACCAGACAGTAGAGAGGAATCTGTGTTGGGCAGTATTCCACTCCCAAGCTACAAAATCCTGTTCTGCACACCGCGAGAATGCAAGAACAGAAAGTTTACCTTCAAGGTACGATCACTTGGTTACTCACTTAATTGAAGGGTCATCTTAACAGCCATTCAAGTCCTTGTCAAATTATCCATATATACAGTGAAAGATGTAAGAGGCTTAAAAAATACGTTGGTAACATTTTATTGTAAGTGTTGTTAATCACCTATTGAGCCATAGTACACCTGAAAACAAACCAAGGACCATTGATGCTTTATGAGGGGAAGAATAACAGTTTAACATTGTCAATGTAAAACTAGGTGGTGCACCAGGGAATGCGCTCTTATTTCTTCAGTGCTGACACTCAGGAGGATATGTTAGGGTGGGTTCGAGCTCTTAGCCAGTCTGCTACAATGGAGCCAGACAGCTCCCTGAACAGGTACAGCACAATTCACTCTGGGCATGAGCTGGTCAACACTGAATATCAAACATTTTTTCATGACTGCACTTTGCCTTTTTTTTGCTGCATCTCTGATCCTTTCAGGCGTTGCTCAAGTTATCAGGATTTCACACAGATAGGAGGCAGCAGTGAATCAGTGGACTTCCCTAAACCCCTTTCTGATGGAGAGGATCCCTCCCAAAAACACAGGCACGTCAGCAGGACTTTGAGTGAACCAAGTCATCTCACCGGTGGGAGGATGGGGACGTCGCACTCAGAGCACAGGGGGAAGCGAAGCGTGCGTCAGAGAAACAGCAGGTTGTCAATTTGTCTCTGTGTGTGGGACAAATTTAAATACCAGTGGTTTACTTTAAGGGGGAAAAAGGTCCCAACTTTGGCATTCTGTTCTGTTTTCTCTTTAAACAGAACACCCAGTCCTCCTGATTTTAGCAGAAGAAGAGCTTGTGGTCCAGATCAAGAGGAAGATTCACTTCCAGGCCAAAACACACACACAGAAATTATGGGAACAGGATCGTTGACCTCAAGAGGTCAGCTGGGGTCACGCCCCCACACACCGGTGGGAAGGGTTGACATTCGACCACACGATGACTCGGCCATGGTGCCGCAAACCCTGTACTATGCACCTGCCTCACCTAAACTGGAGTTCAGATCCACTCCCAGCACTCCAGGCACAGAAAGATGGCAAAACCTAAGCAAGGTCAGAAATTGTTTGGTTCATCTTGATCATAAAATATACTCCATTAGCCTTTGTTCACCATGTAGTACAAAAGCTAATATCTTGTTAATCTCTTATTATTGTATAATTAAGGGGATCAGTCAATAATAATTTGTTTCCTCTTCACGTAAAAGATTAACTGCTGGAAAAGGACGGGCACAGAAGCTCTGATTGATGATTTAACAAGACACTTAGAATTTAGGGTACTTTTATTAGCTTGCTTGCTTAAATGTATACAGAGAAACACAGAAACCTAAATTTGAAGTAAATATGTTCATTTTATTAAAATTAAACAATGATAAACTTCTTAATATTAGTCTACATTCGTAAACGACATCAGCATATTTAATTTCAAATAAATGTTGTCATTATATACTTTACAAGAGGTTCTTTTGGAAATATAACTTTTCTATTTATTAAGAAAGGACAATTTAGGGTTTCAGCTAAATATGTTCTAATTTGCTTCTCCTTTAAAAGGGCACTTAAAGTTTATTCATTACAAAGAGTACTGCTCAGCCTGTAAAAACAGTTGTATAACATTTTATGTGGCCCTTGAGGAAGGTTGAAAAAATAACCAAAGTTGGACATGAGGCTTGTATTTTTCAACAAACAGCCTTTGTTACAAACTGAAGGTGAGGTGTGGTGAGTGTTGCATCACTTTTTCCTTTCTTTTTTTTTTTTTTAAACCTGTCCCTCAACTAATCTCTTCAGTACCCCTTTAACAAAATTCACACCTTACCCTTTTCACTGTTTACAGCCTACACCTACATATGGTTCTGTCCATCATATCTCGAGTGGGAGAAGACCTTTAGGAAAGGTGATTACAGTACAAACAATACATTTACATCAAAACACATCACTCTTACAGAGTAAAGTAATCTGATTGTTAGTGAGTAAAACCTACTTAAAAAGATCATTGAAGTTACTAAAAATGGTAGATTTTACTTACCCAGTACTGTACTACCGTATGTTTTGTTTAATTCCTTATGTTGTCTATTTTTTTCATATACATGCTGTCTATTCTTTCAGAGCTACTCTACAGGGGCACATTCAGACTTACTGCCCCCTTTGCCCCCCTCATCAAGAGCCGCACATGCTCCCCACCCCCCACACCACCACCACCACCACCATCATCACCATCACCGCAGCAATTTATCTGTTTGTGTGCTACCGCCAGCTATGGTACAGCCGTCCGAGCTGCGCTCTGTGTTCTTGGTGTCTTGTGTGGTACAATTATAAAACTGTCCACTATTGTGTGAAACAAGTATATATGTTGTTTGTGCTGTGGTGTGGTGTAGTCTCTAACCGTGGAGACTTTTAACAGAGTGACTCTAATTCTTAGTAGTATGAGCTACTACGTTTTTGTAAAGACCTTGTGATATTGTCCCACACTGTTGTGTGTATGTCATGCTGTGCTCTATTGAAAGACAACAGCTCAGTCTTAACATTCAAGCATTAACACTGAAGCATTAACCTACACCACATACCCTAAATATGTATTAACATTAGTGAGATCAAAGGATTTCATAAAAAAAACATATTCAAAATGGTCTCATTAAAATCACACTGATCTGGTAAACATGAAGAAGCAATATCAAAACTACTTTTAAAAAGTATTGTTTAACAAATTGATAACTTGCGTTTCAGGCCCCAAAGCCTGACCAGAGGGAAACCCCATCAATGAGGCCTCTCGAAAGTGATGCAGATGTGAGTATTCACAATGTTGCCATTTGGCTCTCTGCAGTCACCAGAGTACAGTGCAGTTTTTTATCATCTCATTAGAAGTTTCTCTCTGAGTTGATTTTGATTTTACCTCTCCAGGCTGTGTTGACGAGGCTGTGTGGGTGTGACAAGCTGCTACAGTCTCTGTCTGTAGAACTGGCCCAGCTACAAATGGATAAGGTCAGTAATTACCCCATAAGACTAGAAAATGTAAAGCTGTCTAGACATGTCCGATAAATGTATTTTATGAAAGCTAATGCATTAGATATATAGGTAAGCTCATGGTTTGTTGTACAATATTTAGTTCAAACTAACCAAACACCGTGAGAACTGAAGTCCAGAAAAAATAATTTTACATATTTGAATGGTTGTAGTTGCACTCAACCATAGCATCCTTAAAATGCTTCTTTTCTAGTACTGTATTCTGGATATTTGGTAAAATAGCAATAGTAAATAGTATATTGTGACACTTCTAAGAATAAAAATAATGAGGGTTTTTTTGTTGTTGCAGGAGAGCGTCCATTGTGCGTTAGAGGTGTCCAGACTGCAGCTGGAAGAATGGAAAAGCCAGGGGCCCAGGGCCCAGGAAGAAGCACTGACCCAGAAGGCTTTGCTTCAGGAAGAGCTGGTCACAATCCGGGCCAGAATGTGTGATGTATCATTGGTGTGTAATAAGCCAGGGGGCACAGAATGAGACTAACAATGGCATTGCATGACTAGTCCTTTAACAGTAGGTATTGGGTTGTACATGTACAGACTAGATTCTACTGTTGATTTACATGTTTTTATATTCCTATTATGAGTTTTTATTCACAATGTATTGTTCACAAATGTCATTGTTTTATTCAGGAAATGGAGAGGGTGTGGAGTCAATATGAGAGAATGGAGAGTGAACTGTCTGTTATCCGTTCGCATCTTCAGCACATCTGTCACTTTGGAGTGCCACAGGTATTTATCAACTACAAACTGGATACTTTGTCACTAATATATTAAGCTTGGTTTATATATGTATGCTGCACTAATTGCAAAACCACTCTATCTCACCCAAATGTCTTTCTCCAAAAGACTCATGCCGGAAGATATTTCATGAGTCCTTTGTTTCTTTATATCAGGAGCAGTCTCAGGCCCAGAGGGAGCTTTGGATGATGGAGGACATCCTGGCTGGGTTAAAGATCAACAGGGACCATTTCCGCTTCCTGCTGGGACTACAGAGGCATCATAGTAAGCATCAGCTCTCCCTCACTGTAAAATCTATGGCACGTGTAGATGTTTGTACTGTATAAATATGCCTGTAGAGTGCAACAGTTAACAAAAGTAAGTTTTTGCTTCAATATTTTGTTGTGGTGGTGGTGTCATCAGTCAATACATTTCTAAACCAGTAGAAATACAGAAAAGGAACTTTACTGTACATGTCTGTTTTTAGGTGAATAGACAGCAGGGGAGTGTTGTGGAGTTTGGTTTATTATCAACATTTAATAATATTATGTTGAAGAAAACCTGATGTTATGATAATGCAGCACATGGTGAATAGTTTGATTTATCTTCTGTTTTGAATTGACTGCCTTGTATTAAGCTATACAGTATTACACAACACTATTATTTATGAATATTTTATGTCTATTCATGGGTGAATGGATGGATGAATCACTAATTCCTGGATTTGTGAATGGTGAACTGATTTAAGCTGCAGGATACACCAGGCAATATTATATGTAAACAAATGCTCTGTCCTGCTATCCTAATGCCCAATGTTTCAATGCAGAAAAGTCTGAATCTTTTCATCACATTCACCTGCATCACTCAATAAGGAATTGCAGTCTAAGGTCCGAGCAGTTACTTGTTACTTCCATTTGAGGCCGCCAATGCTCAAAGTTGCCTGGTTCGTTGTGATGACGCACATGAAATCTGACAATGGATGAACAGTGTCAACACTGTGATCTTTTCTGTCTCCAACTCAGCGTTCCAGCAGTCAGCTCCACATCCTGGATCCCCTGGCTCACCCACAGAGAGACTGCAAAGTGGACTGCCAATGGTACGACTCCTGTACATTGTCCCTTTCTCAGTTTGCTCGCTGCTTATGAACAAACATGGGATTGTTGTCCACTCGAAGCAAAGGTTAAATCCATCTGCTTGCATCTGCTGACTAGATCTTTGAGTCCTCCAGGTGTTTTCATAAATTCTAAAACATTCAGATCTAATTACTTTCAATGTGATGGCTTTATACGACTTACTCCCCTCCTTGAAGTCTGCCACGATGTCTGGCTACTTTTCCAAAATACAGTTTTACTGTTGGGATGACCAGTTGCGTTTTCTATCATGTAAAGGATTGACATCTCTAAAATATGTTTGATGAGATGCAGTATCAGTCTTTAGCAATCTGGTATGGATGTGGTAAGATCATCTATCACATCCCTTGTGACAATGATCTATGCAGGATGTGGAACAAGAACCACCTGTCCGCCCACCATTACCCCAGGAGCTACATGAAATCCACCAGAGCAGGGATCAGAGCCATGGCTGGACAGAGTCACCATATGAGGTGTGAATATAGACATTATCTATGACAAATATTATCAAATTTGATACTTTTTACAACATTTTTCTTTACTTATGTTTCAGGGAATCTACAGCCACACTGTTGATCCAGTACAGAGAAGAGGAAACAGCCAGCCTGACCTCCTTAATGTGAAAGCGCAGAAAGATGCATTTGGTTGGCACAGATATACTCAATATCAATAGAGGACAGGGAGTGATATTAATACAATGGCCTGTACATTAATGTTTTATGACACATTAAACATTAAACAGCTTTAATAGGTGTTTTATTCAAAGGTGATTTTTTTTCAGGTTCCAGTGGCTTTGTTTTGTACTCCATCCTCATATTTCTAATTTATTTTTCTACCTGTCACTCTCTTCTCCCACCCATCCTCTCCTGCCCTCCTTTATTTTCATTTCATCTTTAGAATCTCAGTCTGGCTCAAAGTGGATCCCACCAGATCCGACGAACCAATCAAGCAAGGTTTGATTCTTCATAATTTCCTGTTTTCTGGTGAATTAAATCTGTATGTGCGCAATGTGATCCAAAACGCTCCAAATATAGAAGCAGTCAAAGCAGATTTTTCCTCATTGCAATCACAGCCAAATTCCAATTCTTTGATTTTCTCATCCTCCTTGCAATTAGGGCAAGTTGCAGTGCCTGTTCTAGGTGAGAGGGGGAGGCAGAGGCTGCATGTCTCAGTACAGTAGCTCAGTCTTCTCCCTTCTGCCACCCAACCCCCCTTTCTCACGTGCTCACACATATACATATGTATAAGCGAACATACAGATGCAAGCAGCCATACATGCAGCCATTCACGCATACACCTCTGCACGAACAGATGCAAACAGACAGCCTTAATAGTCATTTAATTATTTAAATATTTTTGAGATATTTTGCAAATTATGGATTCTGGCTTTGCCTTTTCTACATGCATATTGCTGAGGTGCATAGTTCACAAATGACTCATTCTAAACAGCCTATATCTTTTCTAGAAGATGAAGATGAGTGAAGAAGAGCAGATTGAACGGATGAAGAGGAATCAGGAGAGGTTGACTAACCGGAAGAAACCCCCCATATCTGCCCCAGGCGCCCAAAACCAGAGTTCAGAGGCAAAAGAGGAGGTCTGCCAAATCATTTATTAAAATAACTGACTGAATCACTATATCATTTATTTAATTTATGTATTTTTACCAATCAATTTTGGTATGTCCTCAGGCCCCCTTTCCTCTAAGGGTGACAAGAGTAGTCACAGCCGTACTGCCGTCCTCTCTAGTGGCCAGACGGGTTTCTGTTGAGGATCCACCGCCTGAGCTCGACAACCCACTGCCTGAGCAGATCTCTGCTGAGATGCAGCAAAGATTGGCTGAGCAGAGTAAAAAAATGTTTAACAAACCACCCAGGCGTCTGTTCCTGGAGAGTCCTGTTCAAAACTGGTCCTCAGCAGAGATGCACCAGGATCAGCCCGTTAAAAAGACAAACAGAGAGCAGCATCAGGGAGTACTGAGGTCCCCCAAGAAGGAGTCATGGTCAGAAGTGAGCAGATACGAATCTACAGAGAATCATGTTCGTTTGTCATCACCAATCACAATTTCGAGCAGATTAAATCAATTGTATTTAACCATGTTTTACAGTTTTGGTCTCTGAGAGCACAAACAAAAGTGATGTGACATTTTCTGTTGCAAACCTTTGAAATATGTCGTCCCTTCAAGATCATGTTTAAAAGCTATTCTTGTAAAATTAGAAAAAGTCAGTATCAAGCTGATGAGATAATGCTAAGTCTATTTTTAGAGCAGTTAAAGAGAGCATGGGATCTCCACGACCCTTAAAACAACATTAGGATTAACTGCATCAGTAATAATGCTATTTCCTGCACATCATTTGCTACATATCATTATAAAGATGATTAATAGCATTGATATACAATAGCTATCCTAAAGTGTAGTGTAGTGTGCATTCTAATGTAAAACTGCTTGAACAGGTGCAGGAACGGCCCTCTGCACTCCTGGCCCCTGACATGGACCCTGACCACTGTCCAACCCCTGAGCAGCGAGAGGCCAAACTTCAGCGTGTGGAACGAATACGGGAGAGAGTCATAAGAAGGTGGGATGTTTGTTGCCATTTTTATATGTTTTACATATATGAAGGTCTTCACTAATCTATCTATCTATCTATCTATCTATCTATCTATCTATCTATCTATCTATCTATCTATCTATCTATCTATCTATCTATCTATCTATCTATCTATCTATCTATCTATCTATCTATCTATCTATCAGCGCAGTCAGAGAGAGTGCTACTACACACAAGCAACTACCAATCAGTGGGGAGGGGCAGGAAGTTCAACAGGTGCCCCCTGACACAGCAAGAAAACAAAGGTTGCAATCAGGTATGTATTTCCCAACACAAAATCAAGAAGTTAAGCATTGTAATTAAGATCAAATTGCTGAAATTAGACTACAGTTACATTTAAAAAATTGCAATCGCATAATAAGTTACTTTTAATCTCAAAAAAGCTTTAACTTGCTGTTATCTATTACAGTAAAATATGCTATAGCAATAGAAGTATCTGCTGCTGATGCACTATGCATCCACTAACTTACTGGCATATTTTGATCTGTTCCTATTTTCAGACCATGAATCTTATGACGGCTATGGAAGCTCTGGGGATAACATCAGAAGCCCTGCTGAACTTCAGCGTTCTAGTGGAACATCTCAGGATGAAGATGAAGGTGGCCATGTGAAAAAATCCAAATGCCAAGTCAAACTTGGGAACAAAACACAACACAAAGATCACAGTGGACGAACAGGGGTTGCCAAAACTAAAATCAAACGTCCGGCTTCACCCTATCATATCTCATCTATGACTGTCTACCAGAAAGATGGAGGCAAGGGATTTACAAGTTGCAAGGATGGAGAGCAGCGAAAGCTTGAAGAACCTTTGGCTGATGATGATGATGATGATGATGATGATGAAAGTGATTTTTCATCCTCCAATATGAGAGCCAAGTGGTTCCTCTCCACCAACCAGTGGCAGGGGTTCATACCTTTGCAGATCCCTGGCATAGACTCATTGTGCCGTGAAGAGGTATCAGACATCGAGAACCAACCGGCATGCACCGACGACGTGACTGATTCAAATGAAATGTCATCCACAGTGAGTGAAAGCTTAGAGAAAATGAAAGAGAACCATTCACTCTTCTATAAGATTGCATGTGACATTAGTATTTCAGACACAGATATAACAAAGAATGATGGGAATTCAAATGCCCAAATGTCATCCAGGCCAGAAGAAGAAGAAGAGCTGCTGATCACCGAATCTGTGCAGGGTGACACGACCCATAATGTTGGGAGATCCTCTAAGCAAGACAGCAAGAATTCCAGCCTACGTTTGCCATCAGATGTTAATGAGAATAGTTTACCAATTGATGACAAACTTCAAGATTCAACACTAGAAACCCAGGACAAAGCTGCGTTCAATACTTCGGCCAGTCCAGCAAAAGAGCCCTGTGTTTATGCAGAGATCCTTCAAAAAGAATGTGTAAACACCTCAAGAGAAGAAAGCCTGTTGAAGGTTAGAGAATCCGTCCACGGCGCTCCTGTTCAGGACATTGATTCTGATCAGGCCCAAGATGAGTATGCAAAGACAAGAGAAGAGCAGAGTGGAGAGAAAGAGTTAGAAGACAGGAAGGTGGAGACAAGAGAAGAAAGATCTGAAGAGCAGAAGAAACGTAGTAGTTTGAGTGAGGTGAACAAGGAGCCAGTCCAAGAACGAGGCAACGACCACTGTATCGCTCCATCCAGCTCTGCGTATGAAGGCGGACGTGTGATCCGGAGTGCCTCTTTCGGGAAGGCACGAGTTACAGTATTAAGGACAAGTTTGTAGAGGTAATAACGGTGACAGCTTAAGGAGCTTAAATGAGCGAACTTTGGAAGGACAAGAACATAGTTAAGTGATTTATGGTAAAAAGAAAATGCCTGAGGAGGAGGACGTTAAGTGATTGGAGGTATTTGGACCTAACTTTGGATTACAAATGGTAAAATGGGAACATACGATATAAGAAATAATCATAATGATAACTTGAACATTTCCATTATTCATAGAATGTGGTTTGAAATGCAGATTAAACAGAAGGTCTTAGGAATATTTCATGAAAACAAAAACTATGTACATATAGTGTAGTGTTGTTTTGCAGTTGATGGTAAACACCAAATACCTTCTTGCAGTCAAATACAGGCTCAGTATTTCAGGTTAACACTTTCAATCCTCTCAAAAGAAGCATCTAACATAACACAGAAATGAGTGCTTGCGGATGGCAACATAACCCTTGTTATTGTCGGTGTAACAAAATGTGTTTTGTATCTCAAATATCCTGATTAATAAACATGCTGTGTGTCTGATATCAACATGGAGACTCCTGCTCATGATTTATGTGCATATATAAGAAATCACATTTATGTTTTGCTTTCATTACATACATCCTTTTTTTTCTCCACAATGAAAGTTCACCTGGTGCTTGGGTGCTGCTCTCTGAGGAGCCCTGATGCAGAATTACATGGAGCCACTGAAAATGCCTTTGTCACTTTAAATCCCTGCCATGTCTCAGTCGATGACATCATTGTCTGAGAACACATTACATCACCCCTTCCCAGGCTCTCTCTCTCTCTCTCTTAAAGACAGCACCACCTTATGTTTACTGAGCTACATACACACATATGCGCACATGCACACACTGTGAAAGACCTGCTTATCTGTTTACAAATGTGATATCAATATCAACATAAATATTAATAACAGTCTTTGTGAGATCACATTGTATGTGTGGGCTGGTGATTTCATGTTATGTTGATGTAGTTACATCCAGGACAGCATCCACAGATATGGATATAAGCTACAAGTTGGCAATTAGATGTAATAACATTCACTTTAAACACATTCCTGCCATGATTGAATAGTATTAGTATGCTTTTCCTCCCAGACTACACACAGTAAAGGCATTCCTGAGTACATTTTAAATAAGTGCTTGTGTCTGTTTTTAACCTGCATATCTAAAACACACGTTATGCCTGAGGAAGAATTGGGAAAATATTATCCTTAAACTTTGATTTATGGAACCTACTTTCATAATATTGCAAATGAAATTTGAGTGATTATTGATATTATTACTAATATCCACATTATTTTAATTCTTCTCATGGTCTGAAGTTGGGCCTACAGAGCGCCACACAGATTTAGCTTTCTTTTGCAGGAACACAACAAATAAGGAACTGCTTGATGACAGGACAAAATAATTTGGATGCATGTTTGTATGTTTTATATTGTGGATTTTTTTAAATTGGTGAATTTGGGCTCAAGCTGCAGCAAAGAAGGGAATATGGACTAGATGCAAGTAAAATGTCTGTCATTTAGTTTGCATTTGTCTACAAAAATCATACTATCATAATCTCTCAATACCCACTGTATAACTAATCAGGTGTTTGATTGGCCTGCGAGTGCGCGTGAGTGCGTTGCGCGCGCGTAAATCACAGAGATGCGGAGAATGCTGAGAGAATGTTTCTTTAAGACCCATTACCTTCCAATCCTACAGAGGGAGAGTCTGTGGTAAGGTGGCGTATCGTCTCTCTCCGCGTCCCCCCCTCCTCCTCCTGACCGTTTACATGTGGAAAAAAGGGGCAGAAAATATAACACATACAGTAAGCTTTACTGTGGATTCGGATGGGGGGCGCGGACACCAAGGCAAGATCCGCGGAGATGGACCTCAGGAATATTTAACATCAAACATGGATACTACAGGCTCCCCGCGATGACTGTGGTAAGGATGCAACTTCACACCGCCCCATCGCAACCCAGTTTCCATCGAGATGGTAAATGAAATCCATCGGAAGACGCATCGGAGACATATGCATGCACTAATGTAACAATAAATGCATGTATGTGCGCGTGCATGTGTGTGATAACAAGTAGGCTACCTAACATTTGTGTTGTCAAGGATTGAGGGGGGTGGTAGTGGTGTATGTATGTGTGTGTGTGTGTGTGTGTGTGTGTGTGTGTGTGTGTGTGTGTGTGTGTGTGTGTGTGTGTGTAGAAGGGGAGGGAAGGGGATTACTATTTGAATAGAGGCAAATAGGCTTATATTATAAGACAATGCATCGCTTGGTGCCTATGTCAGTTTCAGGCATTGACAGGTGTGTTGGCAGTACACAGCACGATTTATTTAGGGGACGCTTGCTCGTTGCCGTTTGCATACAGTTAGGTGAGGTGGTATCTACTTGAAGAGACAGAGAAAGAGAGAGAGAGAGAGAGAGAGAGAGAGAGAGAGATCATAAGATGCCACTGTATATTGGCCTACTATGTGTTGCTTGTAATTAATCATGGCTGTAACTAAGCCCTTTGCCGTTGGGAGCTTTGAAGTCAAACCTCCCAGCACGTCTCATTGCTATCACTGGGCCTATGGAGTTGATTATAATTCTATAATGTCCTGGAGAAGGCAGGCCCATTTCTGAAAATGTGCGATGTGCATTTTTGGGCCATCCTCCTGACATGATGCTTTCTATAGGCTAATCTCAGTCGAGCAGGATCTCAAAAGAGGAGATTTATCTCCCTCCTGTTTGCTTTAATGGGCATTTTAACACACAAAGGGCCAATTTAGAGATCCCCCAATACACAACTGCTAAGCTTTTTACTATAAGAATGCAGATCTGTGCGTGCGTGCGTGCTCGTGCGCGCCCATGCGTCTATCATCAAATGGTCTTTCCTCCATACATTCAGAAATGGAGGTAGCCACAGACAAGTCGAGCTGTCATCTGGAGCGCCTCGTCAGTTCCCCATTAGCCCAGTATGCAGCGTGGATGCCGGCGCAAATAAAAGCGTGTTATAGTCCGGATCCCGGTGCTTTCATTCCCTCAACCCAGCTGCCAACAATCACTTATCGATTCCAATGATGCGTTTCTTGGCCAGGTGGTACTGTTTCATGGTGTTTGGAAGGGAGGAGGAGAGGAGGGGTGGGGGAACGTTCATTATTAGTCGCTATATGTTCTGCTTTCATTGAAATGCCAAGAATGCATCTGACATGTACCGCTGAGAAGGTGATTTTAACATGTAACTGGATGTAAAAACCGATTGCAGAGAGCCTCTTTCTTTAGTTCTAATTGTCGGCGGCTGTGGGAGCAGCAAACCCCTCTCCCCGCCCCATGACTGGTGGAGGAGAGCTGTTCCTGCTCTCTCTCTCTCTCTCTCTCTCTCTCTCACACACACAACACACACACACACACACACACACATACACACTCACACACACTCACACACAAGGCAATGCCATTTTTCGGAGACAGAATATTTAGTAACATGATACACAGCCTAATTGGGGGCCTTGTCCTAATTGGTCATCTTGCAACCACTGTAAATCCAGTTTCCCCTCTCCAGGGTAGGCCTAGCAGGGTTCAGTGTGACTGTGTAATAATAATGTGAAAACATGATGTAATCATGTGGGCAATAATAATATGAAAACACCCACATGTGCGCACACACACACACACACACACACACACACATATTTGATGGAGTTCAGTGGACACTGTGACATAAGCTCACCTCTCACGCCAATGAATCTAATGCAGCTACTTGATAATTTAGCTGTACAGTAGCTCTACATTATTGAAACATGTTATCACCAGCTCTTTGTTTTCAAGCTGCCCTCTCTGCCAGCCCCCATGCTCTCATTTCTATGGCAGTGAGAATGGCAACCATTCAAAGAAATGACATGTAGCTATCATTTGTTTTCCAGCTCTCTCTCTCTCTTGCTCTCCCTCTGTCTCTCTCTCTCTCTCTCTTCCACACAAACTCAAAAACACAGGTCCTGAAGCCCAGTGACCTCATAGCTGACGCTTCAGTCAAAACTGCAGGCTGCACAGTTAGGTTTTGCCTGTTCTGAATCAGGACTTGACCAATGAATCCTTTGTTTCACCAGCACAGACTCATCATATGACACAGGAATACAGTGAACTATTACTGTGAGCTGTACAGTGATTGTTACACTATATACAATAATCTGCAGTAATTACATTACCCTGTGTACTGCTGGCCCTGCTGAGCTAATGAAGAGCTGCTGGTAATGACGATGAGTCCACGATTATCCCAAGCTGAGTATTTGAAAGTTTTTATTACAAGCTACCCTATTCTTAGTTTTTCAGGTGTTTCGAGGTCCTGCACCAACTCTAAGGAATTTCAAAAGGATATTTTGGGTAGCTTGGACCACAAAGTAGCAATCAGAAGCTGTTGTAGTCTTGACATATTTTGATCAACAGTCTTTTTTTTAAAGAGACAAAAGTGACACACCACACATGTGTTTTTCTCCTATAAAAAGTATTATATTCTGTTATGTTGTTTTCAGCACTTTTGAAAGTAAATATTAGCTGAATGCTTTTGAAAGTTGACACCATCATGATTCTGGACCATCTAACATTCATGTCCACAATGTGGTGTTATGATGGCACGCTATTACTACTGCAAATGCAGGTGTCAGTGGAAGAGAAGTTTGAAACATTTCCTCAAGTTTGATGACATTTTAAACTCTTAAACTGTATTTTAAGGAAATGTCACCATTGCCAGTTCAGTCTTGCTTCAGTGATTATCCATCAGTGGAGCAGGGAAGGAAGTAAGTTGTTTTTTAGTGGGACATGCAGTGAGGTTGCCAAGTGCTCTAGCCAGCTCACCAGCATGAGGAGCTAATTCAGTATCTGTATCAGGCCTCCAATTACCAGCTAGCAGTCCTCATCTTTGGTCATGGACGTCCATATAATAATAATGAGGAAACTGGCAAGACTTGTTTTCACGGGTGCTGAGGCCTGCAGGCTGAATATGTTTGATTCACAAAATGGATGATTTTGGTTGGATAAAGAAATTCTTTATTGTGCTGCCCGGGCTCACTGACGTAAAGAAGCCTGCATGGGCACTAAATCAGTCCACACCACTTAGTATAAAGGCCAGTGCAAGCCCCTGAGTATTATAGACTAGACAGTGAAGAATATGGGAGGAAAGAAGAGAGAGGCATGAGGTGCTACAATAATGCTGATTGCCTGAATCTATACCATTTTGGCCCACAGTTTGCAGCTTGAGCCAGAGGCTTTCTCTAGTTGAAAAGGTAATTTAAGTTATGCGGACGATTTCCAACACAACTGATTAAAGGAAGTTTTGTGTGATCACATATTTAAATCTCTTTGGGGTTTTTTTGGGTTTTTTTTTGAAAAACTGAGAATGACAACAAATTAAACTTGTTGTTATCTTCCTTAAATCATTAAGATTGCAATTTTAACATGTTCATCTATTCTAATGTCACACAGAGTCTGATTAATACCACTCTCACATCTGTCTGTTGAATTTACTATAAGGCTACAGCCAGCAGTTAATT